TGAATTTAGCAATACTAAGGTTACTACTAACACCATCTCCATCTTTTTTGAATGCACCAATTAACTTTAATTGAGATGTGTCCTTCTTATTCACACTTGTCAAATAGGATTTACAACGATCTAAATGATAAAATAAGGATGAAGTACCTGTTTTCCTTGCATGATAATTGTAAATCTTACCACAATGTTGACATTGAGCTTCATCTGTAGCTTCAATCTTTTCAAAATGCTCCCAAACTCTAGATCATTTTTTTTAAATCTTGTCCCTCACATTGAATGTCATCAGTAATTAGGATGTTACTATTAGAATCAACTTGAGCAAATGATTATGGAGTCATTTCATCCATAAAAAAATGATCTGTGAACAAAAACAAAATATGGAGATGATATAAGAACCAAGAAATCAGAATAAATTGAACTGATAAGTTGGAACTGTAAATTGAACCAAAAAATGATATGTTGGAACTATAAATTGAACCAAGAAATCAGAATAAATTGAACAAAGAAATAAATATCAGAATAAAGGCCGGCAAGTATCACAAAAAATCCATCCCGGCAAGTATTAATGAAGAACTTTTTTGGATCATCATTTCACAGATCTCGCTCATGTAATTCCTAGTTTGATCATTATTTTTAGCAATTAATTTTACTGGTTTATGTGATTCCTAAGAAACTAAATCCTAAGAATTTGTTCCCTCACAAGGTTCTCAATAGTATGGAAAGAATAACTAAATGGCAATTTTATAGATTTATTTTTCAGAGATTTCATGATCTGCATTTCAGAAATTTGGTTTGCATGTCATGATCTGTTTTCCAGAGAACCTTATCATACCACAGTGGATCAATTTGAACAAGACCCAATAAAAAAAAAGAAAGGGGGCTCCGCCTCTCCATATGATATTGAAAGGTAACTATCATTTATGAAAGAGTATTCTTTTTTCGTTTTTAACAGGTAAGAACAATAATCTTTGAAGTTCTGTATGTTATACATTTTTCAAGAAATGCTAATATAATAATATTTTTGCATAAACAAAATTGCATCAAGGCTTAAGCATGAATACTCATCAATCAATATTACCACGAGGCCACTTATATAAATGAATTTCATAGAAATAATTTGCATTGAGATAAAAAAAAAATTACAATATGGAATTTCCTAAAATAAAATGGAATCTTCCAATTTAGTTTCCCTAAATGCAATAAAAAAATGTGTCTAAAATATCAATAGGCATCTGTGGTCATCACATAAACAAGCACTCTCAAATGATATCCACAGCGTACATGCAATGAACAATCAAGAGAATACCATGTGATGATCTTAGCAGAAGAACATACATTATTATCAAATTTCTTCCAAAGAATGATGCAAAGGCCAAAAGCACACACAAACATGGATAATACAGGAAAGTAGCAGGGGGCAAAGACAGTGAAAACCTAAAGTCATTTGAGATTGTGAGGGAACAAATTCCTAAAATTGCCATCACGGATCTCGCTCATATAATTCCTAGTTTGAACTTTTTTGGATCATCATTTCACATATCTGCAACTAAGATCCGATGAATCTGACCAGACGATTCGTGAGAAACCAAGGTCGCATAGATGAAGTCTACGATCAGACCTTCCAAGCCAGACCACAACAGATAGAGTAGAGAGAGAGAGAGAGAGTACCTGGGTGGGAATCGGGACTAGAAATCTGGACTGGAACGATAAAGGACTCTTGAGATGTGAGGCGTGAAGTGCAATGGATTGATTGAGGAGGCGTGTGAGGTGCTGAAATGACTTAGACGATTAGGGTTTTTTTTTAGTTTATATATATATATATATTAATGTGCCTAGGTAAGGTAGGGTAGAAATGAATGACTATTCCGCATTCCTATCCGATTTAATCGAAAGACCAAAACTCTTTCACATTCTTATTCGATTTTTGCGGCTAGCCGTTTAATAGGGTCAAGTAGGGTAGAAACTTACGGCCAGTTTAAAATTTGAATACCCCTGGTGGTTATCATACTAACCTGGTTCAAATGTCAAGGAATCTGTCATTTTTGAAATGTAAAAAAGTGTCTGTGTAATAAAATCAAATCTCATGAGACGCTAGTGAAATTTACCCATATAAATTCCATCCATCCCACGAGTCCATCAATAATTTATTTTTGCATTGTAGCCTGGGAGAGATCACTCAATTATTACACCGTTCCCAAGGAAATCTTAAAAATACGAACAGTCCCACCAAAATCGAATCTAATACACTCTTACCCATAACCAGGGAAAATAATAAGACATTAAAACTTATGGTTTTAGTATGATATCAAAAAATAAAATAAAAATATTTTAAAAGATAATAATTTTTTTTTAAAAAAATGATAAAATTTACTCAAAAAGTGGTGGGTGAACCCAAAAAATGATAAGGGTGCGCCCAAAAGGTTACTAACCATCACTCAAAAAATGATATAAATATTCAAAAAATGGTAAATGATAAAAAATTTGATAATCATAGTATTTCCGAAAAATAAAAGCTCTCTTCCATAGTATTATTGAAAAATTATATATAAAAATTAAAATAGCTTATAATTCATCTCAAAAGATAAATAAAATGACTTTTGTTATTCGCGGTTGAGATCGTTTTAAATTTTACTTTAAAATTAATCTAATGATTAATATTAACACCATAAATTTAATAGAAAAATAGGCCCTTAAAGGGTGTGTTTGGAGTGACATTTTAAAAGTACTTTTAAAAATTATTTCTCATAAACACTTAAAAAAAAAATAGTGTTTGAAATCACCCTGCCACCACCTCTACCACCACCGCCGCCACCACTACCACCATCACCACCACCGCAGTCGCCACCAACGTCAATACCGCCACCACCACCTACACCACCGCCTCCGCCACCCCACCTGTACGCCACCGCCTCCGCCACCCCACCAGCGTTGCCGCCCCGACCGCCCC